GAGTTGGACAACACGTCGAGTGACTAAAAGACATCGTTTCGTAACGTATTGTATACAAGATTTTTTCTACTGGCATTTTATAATAAAAAAACACAATTTTATTTCATGTGAATAAGTCGATTACGCCCAAAATCTTTGTTACCTGCTTTTACTTGCCACCTGACACTTTTCATGCGATTTTCTTTTCAAAATTCGCCATCAATAATTAAAATCCTAGAAAGTAGGTAATAACACAAACTTCTGTTTTGAGTAACCCAAACGTTCAATTCAGTAATTCCATTTTCAATATTCATAATAAATACAAAACAAAATTCAAATATGTGTTTAGTGTGTTTTTTATTTCTGAATAATGAATGACACTTTTAGGCACTAGTGCTTAAAAATTACTTTTACGCACTCATAAGTCACTTTTACGCATTCAAAAGTCACTTTTACGCACTGAGTGCCTAAAAGTAACTTTCACGCACTCAGTGCCTAAAAGAATGTCGTTTCAAAACTGAAATGACAATCGAAAAGTTGCTATTATGAAACGTCAGTAGAAAAACACATATTGGTATGATGAAATGTTCGAAAAATACTCATCATTTCCTCGATTACAGCGAATATTGGCTTATATTCTGCGTTTTGTACGTAACATCAAGGAAAAAATCGACAAAAGAATTGGTCCATTATCTGTCTTAGAGCTTGATTCATCAAGAAACTTTATAATTAAAGTTTTGCAAGACCGATATTTTTCAAAAACAATTTTTGAACTCTCAAATAATAAATTGATCTCTGATAAAAACTTACTCAGCTTGAAACCTTTTCTGGACTCTTCGGGTCTATTGAGAGTTGGTGGTAGGCTGCTGAATGCTGAGATTTCCTATGACCAAAAGCATCCTCTTCTTCTCCCATCTAAGAATTTTGTGGTAGATCTCATGCTTGTGCATGAACACAAACGTCTGGGTCATGCTGGCGCTCAAAATGTACTTTCTAACTTTCGCCTTAGGTTTTGGCCTTTAAATGCTTTACGTCAAATTAAGAAAATAATACGAAATTGCACAACATGTTTTCGCTTTTCTGCGCAAACCAATCAGCAGATCATGGCCACCCTTCCAAAGGAAAGAATAAATATATCACGACCCTTTCAAAAAGTTGGAGTCGATTTCGGGGGTCCCTTCCTCATTAAATCTTCTCGATTACGTAAAGCTGCTGTCATTAAATGCTATATTTCCCTTTTTGTGTGCATGGCCACTAAAGCGGTACACATTGAACTTGTCTCTAGCTTGTCAGCTGAATCGTTTCTGATGACTTTGAAGAGGTTCATATCTCGAAGAGGGAATCCAAACACCATATTTAGTGACAATGCTACAAATTTCCCAGGAGCAAATAATAACTTGAGGGGCTTGTATAATTTTTTCAAAAATCAATCGAACTATGACACTATAGAAACCTATTTAACTCAGAATGAAATACAGTGGAAGTTCATCCCACCTCGGTCACCACATTGGGGAGGATTGTGGGAATCTGCCACTAAGAGTGCAAAGTACCACATAAATCGCCTTGTAGGAAATAATCACTGCACTTTCGAAGAATTTGACACAATTCTATGCCAAATTGAGGCAATTTTAAATTCTCGGCCTTTATGCGCTTTATCTAGCGACCCTTCGGATTTCGAATCGCTAACCCCTGGACACTTCCTTATAGGTTCGGCACTGACTGCATATCCTGACAGAGACTTCACTCATACTCCCGAAAATAGACTTAACTCCTGGAAAAGGTGCTCTCAGATTCAACAAAGGTTTTGGAAGCGCTGGAGCATTGAATATTTAAATAGACTTCAAAATCGCCCCAAATGGCTCCAGCCCTCAAGAAATATATGTGAAAGCGACCTCGTTCTTCTTAAGGAAGATAATATGCCTCCGCTCAAGTGGCCATTGGCCAGAGTCACTGAAACTGTCAAAGGCACAGATGGAAAAGTTAGAATTGTTAAGCTTAAAACATCTGATGGAAGTTTCACACGTTCAATAGCAAAGGTTTGTTCCTTACCAGAAAGTGTTAACTTATTGCCCCCACATAATAACCCTGAGTATTAGATATATTATAATCTTCCTCATTGTCTCAACTTCTTAATTCTTAAGTTTCGTAATGTATTTTTTTAATAACTCTCATAATTCTCCTCTTGTAATCTCTTTTAATTTCTTGAAGTTGGAAACTTCAACCCGGGGCAGAATGTTGTGGAAACAGCCAAACAATCATATTTATTTTTTATGATCACAGTGGCAACGTTGCAAAAAAGCCCCCCGCCGTGAAAAACTTGCGAAATGGCGCCGTACCAGGCTGTACCGTATCGATCCAGTCTGGTTGTTTGTCGCTAGGGGAAAAAATGCATTCCTTCTCTTTTTCACTTCGCAGTGTGATTTGTGATTTTAGGAGTGTGGTTTCACTAGCAGTAAATAGTGCGTAAAAACGTCTAACTCTATACAAGTTTGAACCTGCTCACTTTTCTCTAATTATTTAATTATTCTCTCTAGTCTCTATAGTCCCTTGTGCAGTCTCTCTCTCTCTCTCGCTCTCCAAATAAAAAGACTTATTTTTTTATCTCTCTGGCTGCTGGCTTGAAAACTCAAGTGATATAATATCGCGTAAAACATTGAGTTAATCACACTCCCCTTTTTTAAGGGCTCTCTAAAAATATAAAAACTCTCAACTCCCGAAGATTTCTATTAAGAATAAACTTTATCTTGTGCTCTCAATTAAAATATTAGCGTTCCGCTAATACTGACAATTATTGTTAAATTGACTATTGAGCACTTAGCAACTAGTGAATTTATACCGATTAGTGAATGTTCTCGAATAACTCAAATGCGACTTGTTAACTAACCTGTGAATAATTAAAAGTACTTTAATGTGGTTACAGTATTTATTACTTTATTAAACGATTATTTTGGCAATAATAGAGAGATATAAAACTGGAAGTGTGAGTGCATTATTTAGCAGTGAGATTCCCATCCCCTTTATGATCCAGTGATCTATCCCTAAATTAAATGTTGACACCTCAGTTAGAGGCCCTAACACTAACAACTGGCTGAAATTGGAAAGAACTGACCTTTATCCGGTTGTCGAAGGACCATGTAAAGTGCTGTGGTTCTGTTTGTTTACTCCACTTATTTGTTAGGTGGACAAAATGAGAGACTGGCTTATTTTTTGCCTCGTTTATTTTTTTTTTGCTGCCCCTTGCTTTTCTGACTTCTTTTTTTTTACAATAGTTGTTAATAATGATTGTTCTATAATACCACAGAGACAAACTTCAAAACTTGCTAGACTCCTCGAACATTAAAAAAAAAAAAAATATTACCTTTGACAGCCTTCACCTCTCTCTCATCGACATTGCGTTTTCAAAAGTAACACAGGAGCGAAAATTTAAATTACGTGTCAAATATTTTGGGCGATACGGAACAAAGAGAATGATTCGAAGGAAATTTTACTGGAAGATAACCGAGAAGATAACGAAGATTCTGATTACCAAATAAAAGTAGTAGAAGGTACAAGTTAATAATTTAGATCCAGTTGTAAGACCACAGAGAGAGAGAAAGGTTCCTACAACATTAAACGATTATTTTACATACACAGCAGTTATTAATACAGAAGAAGAAGATCCTATTGATGTTGATAAAGCTCTCAATCAGTCAGATAAACCATAGAAAAAGGCTATGCGAGATAAGTTGCTACAGAAAAATTTCATGTGCTAATCGAAGATTTTTATTTATTTCTCTAGATATGATTCCAATGAAGAAATCAAGTTTGTTTTACCAATACATATTAAGTATTGAGGTACTTGGACTATTTTAATGATAAAAACTGTATAATATTATTTGATAAGAGGTCCATGGCCAAAGACACTTTTTTTCAAATAACTTCTTCCGATATTTTGCCATCTAATCCTACTTTTCGCGATTCCATATCTAATTTTTCGAATTTGCCGCCACAACAGTGATCACGTGATCGATGTCAAAATATATTTTTAGGTTATCGGACAGGCAGAATTGATCGCACATAAGAAAAAATTCCATATCCTACAAATAATTTTTTTTTTCCATACGTAGCGACCATTATGGAGGACACTGTATATTATGTTTAATAAAAAAACGTATAGTTATTGTGCCCTAGTTTGCTAAGGTCGTAGAAAAAAATGTTGATCCTAACTCATGCATGAAGTATCTTTCCCACCCTTGACTGCTTGCTCGAACTCAGCTCCCCGTCGTTCCGGTCAACGGCAGTCGCGTGCGGCGAAGTATAACTTTCTGCACTTGTTAGGATAATTACTATTTTCCCACCTGGATAACTAAAAAAGGGTGTAAATTCCGACTATACCTAGTTATTTTTTTTTTTTGTTAGTTCAATATTGGTTATTGTTTTGTTTCATCTTTGACTATGTTTTTCGTGTCTCTTTCAACATTTTGTGAATTCTTTGTTAATATTTTTAATGTCCGACTGGTATATTATTCGAGAAATAATAACATTATGTCAAAGTCAGTTAAATACGAAATAATTCCGTTGGTCGTTATTCTGAAAAATAACGCCCTAGGGCATTATGACTACTTTTTCAAATAGGAAATAATTCCCTAGGGCGTTATGACTATGTTTTTGCAGGTACTTGATTTGTTTTAGATTAATTTATTCAAATTTCATTCAAAATTTTCTCATATAAAAAATAATTAAGTCGGACATCAAATGTTGAAGGCACCACGGGTATTAAGGATATTAACGCTTTCGGTCAACGTATAAATACACCATTGCCCTCAAGCGTTAATATCCTCATAATACCCTTGATACCTTAATAACTATATTTCTTTATTACATTACCTATATGATTTTTTTTGTCATTTGTTAAAAGTGACACCATACTTTAGGAACATACCATAATTCAAGGGCTAGGTTCTTCTTTATTTCGAATTTCTGCGGTAAAATTGACAATTTGGGTATGGCATTATTGCGATCAGAGTAAAACAAAAGAGCATTTAGTTATAATTTTTATTTTCATTTATCATCATAGGTATATAAAGTACATCAATTATTTAACATACACATTAGCCACTGTATAATAATTGTATATGTATAATATGAGAGTTCCATATTAAAATACACAAACGCAAAAACAATGCTTGCGTTATTAAAAATTATTAACAATCACAGGTCAAATATACAATATACATTTAAAAAATAGAATAAAAAGAAAACAATCAAAACAATGGCTAAAAAGTACAACCAGAAAAAAAAATTCAAAAAGGCATCAAAATATTTCGTTTTCACAAATTAGGTAGGTAGGTAAGGTTCGTTTCACCAGGGTTCATACTTGACCTTGAAACTTGAAAAAAAAGGGTTGTCGTAGATTAATTCATATGACACATTCAATTTTTTTGACAAATTGAAATTAATGACGGCTGGTTTAAGAACCGACGAACGTTTTTGACGTCTTTGATTTGTTTCAGTCAATTTTTATTTGTTAAACAAGGAAGGTAAATGCTGGTGGCAAGTACAAACCCTGGCGAAACAAACTTTACCTACTTACTACAATACATCAAATCTACATATTTTCAAAATTCAAAGGTCATCATAGGTAAAATGAAATTAAAAATAAGAATGACTTAACCACCTTTGTTTTATTAACAATAAAATTAATGATTTTTTTTTTGTTTTAATGTGCCAAATAACAAATCAAAAAACTGTAAAACCTCAGGTACAAATATCAACGAATAATCCTCCAACACCTATTGATATTTTGTTTTAATTCTGTAGTTCAATCACAACAATTATTGGTGATAACATGACCTAGTGACATGCTAAACTCATATAATATTCAATATTTTTGGGTTGTTCTATTTGGCATTTAACATAGAATATTTCTATATTTTAGAGATATTTATCAAATCTCTTTAATTCATAAATATCATTTCTCATGTGTTAATTATAAACAAAATCTCACTTATCTGTTGCATTTGGGTTGGTGTAACTGAATCCTTGAAATTGTGTCTGGTCCATAGACTGGAGGATTCCATTTTCAATTGGAGTAAGTTTAGCTTTTTCTATCGTGAATGTCTTATCAAAATATTGAGTATCGAGTGGATGTTGCTGAAATAAAAAAAAAGTCTAATTAATGTTCACATCAACATTTCGTATGCAATTCAAAATTGATGTTACGAGTATTAATTAAACGAACTCTCAAAGTTTGCATGAGCGCAAACAGCTTGATTTATTAAACTTTCAATGGCTAAAAATTACTCGGGATTTTTATTTACGACTTCAAAGTTATTTTCATATAGTTTGCGGTTTCTAACTTTTTCATACGAAACATAACGAGGGCCTATTTTTTTTTATTAAAACGCCAACGCTAATAAATTAGAGGCACTAAATCATGTTAATGCTAATCCATTACGTAGTCAACTATGACCGTTTTATTAAATCGGCCTTTTACATTTTAGCGGATATTTTTCAGGATTATTAGTTACAATATTTTACTATGGACAAAGTTGTTTTTATATGATGGACAGGAATAGTGATGTTTTAAATTATCAAGAGCTTGGTAATAAAGTTGCTGACAGAGTCTCTTTTTGCAAGGTTTCAAGTTTGAGTTTCAATTTGTGAAAAAGTTATAAAAGGGTTGCTCAAAATCCTGCATAAAAATTAAAATTTTGTGCTCATTAATTTTTATTTGATTGTGATTCGTTCCCTGTCAACTCCATCTGAAAGTTTCTTGGGTTTAAGGATAGGAAAGAAAACCAATTAGTCTTTCGGCAACGTTTCGTCTTTAATCAAGACATCATCAAGCCCTACGAAGAACAAACAATGTTAAAATATATACTAATTATGGGCAAACTGAAATAAATTTAGGAGATTTAAAAATAAAATATAGATTTATGTTTTTTTATGTTATATTTAGGATGACGTCATCGAACAAAGTCAGACAATGTTGTCAATGCCTATTTTTTTTCTTATAATTTTACCAGAATATCATATGTCAATAATTCTGACGACAGCTAAAAATAACGAAATGAAAATGTTTATACACATCATGCAACGTCGCTCGCTGTTACCAACCAAAAACCTCTGAAATTACCCTACTTTAAATGCGTTAAAAAGTACTTTTAGTTTTGTTAGGTTAGCAGCAGAAATTTACTAAATGTGACGTCATCCTAAATGTAGCGTAAAAATCCTATATAAAAGAACAAAAAGGGTTATTTTTAATTTAAATTTTCATATCTTCACTCAGACTTGAAGTTTTAACCTCAAGATGTCCTCACCAACATTCCAGCAAACTATGTAGGTTCATGTATAAAACTTATGAAAAACGGCACATTTTTTTTCCCCCCTTAATTTGTTATTGTGTCAATGTGTTTTCAATTAGATTTGGAGGCAAACAAAAATAGGCTAGGTTTTTATTTATTTCATATTGTGTGTTGCCTACCTCTAGTACCATTCTGGTACCATTTTGTTCAGTCGTTATACACTGGAAGAGTTTATAATTTGTGGAAAATAAAGGTTATCATTAACATGGTATTGTTGAAAATTAAGAGATTCATTCTACATTTTTGTTACAGAATGTATTTCTTCTGTTAACTAGTTTTGCCGTAAAATGATGATTAAACGCAAAAAAAGGACATAAAGTACAATTCTAAAATTTGAAACAACGAATTAAAATCCTAAGGTTTAAAGTCAACCCCTGTTTTCTGAACCTTACGATCAAAAATTCCAAAAAAAAATATACGTTTTATGGTTATTGATATACTTTAATCCATAATTTTTGTAAGCAAATTTGACTCGCCATTTTTGAGTTAATCACAAAAACTGAAAAAAAAGTTGTTTTTCACCATTTATTCCAAAACGAATCGATGAAGTTTCCCGTTATTTTTATTACGAACTACTATTACAATTCTGCGCGACATACATTTTTTTTCAATTTTTTGAACGTGTAGTTTTCTCGCTACTGCACAAATAGTTGGAAATACGCCCGTAGCTACACTGTTTTAAAAAAAATCCGACGAATGAACGTTCAAATTTATTTGCGTGGGTCCAAATTAAAACCCTGTTTATGTAAAACAGAATAATACTTCGAATTTCTGCAAGAAAAAAAAAATTCGAAATCTAAATATCCAAGTAATATTTAAATCGGAAGTCACTAGATGGCACCTTACAGGAGGATTGTCTAAGGTCACTAAGGCCCGTATTCTCAGTCACACCTCAAATTAGGGACCCCTTGCGACTTGAAGGTCGCCTTGAATAAGGCCACCTTCGTGGTTTGCGACTTTGGCATTTCATAGAGGCGAGTAAAAGCATCCTTATTCAAGGAAGCCTTGTCATAAGTTTTGCAACTGACAACACCGCTTTTTACGAAATGTCTATTGTTATTGTCAATAAGTGGTCATTGTTTATGTTTGCCGTATGGTTAATGCTGTTGGTTCTGTGTGTCGTTAATGCGAATATTAAGGTCAGATAGCTGTAGAAATAGTGATTTGTCTGTGAAATTTATGCACAAGTAATTATGGCGACCAAGTACACCAAGACAGAAATTATCCCTGGTCCAGATGGTAGCTCAGCACAGAGTCATAGTTGAAAATAAAAAAAATAAACGCCGTATTATTGGAGGAAAAACAGCCTGCCTGAGATGAAATTTATAATTCCTTGACCATTTCGTAGATAACCCACAACCATGAAGTTGCTTCGCAATATAAGAATAATAATGGACAAAATAAAAATATTACGTAGCAAAGTCAATTATTAATAAAAATTTAAGAAAAATAAATATATAATTGATCTATTAATTTTTTGATGTTTTTTTTTATCTTTGTCTTTTTTAATGTCCCAACTTTTCAATGTTTCAACCGTCTGTTTCTTTTCCTCTGTCGAATACGAAGTCTAGCGTGACCTTAAATACTTTGTAAGATGTGAGCGAACTTGCGCTTGATAAAGAGGTCTTCTAGCCTCGAAACATGTAGGGCGCTTTTACTTTATCAAAATATTTTGTGGAGGAAGACTTTATGTATTCTTTTGGAATTAAATTTCAACTTTACTTTGAGAGATGGACTATTACTTCTTTAATTTAGAATTCCAATGGATTCTGCATGTTTCGATGAATGTACAGGTTTGTTCCGTATATTTAGACAGCATATAGCTCGCTTTGAAGCAAGATAGGAAAAAAATGTAAATACAAAGTAAATACGGATTTACGAGAACAGCTAAAAAAATTAGCTTTTATATATACAGGGTGCACGCTGAAGATGTGGCAGACACAACTTGTATAAATAGAACACCCTGTATATGTTTGCCTAGAATGACTCACCATTGATATAAGGAACCCGGAACAGATCTAATGTTAATGCATTTTAAAACTTAAATAGCGTAAGAACAGCTGAACCAAATATCAACATATATTTGAAATCAGAAGAAAACAATCCATCATTCTAGCCAAAAATATACAGGATGTTCCATTTAGAAAAAAATACTAGTTTTGTCTGCCAAATCTTTTGCGTGCACCCTGTATATATGTATAAAAGTTAAATTTTCTAGCGGTTCTCGTAAATCCCTATTTACTTTGTATTTATATTTTTTTTCTATCTTGCTTCATTAGCGAACTATATTCTGTCTAAATATACGGAACAACCCTGTATAGTTCGCCTTACGAGTCTGGCACTACGACGTCTGAAGAGCAAGGGGGAATAACGCCATCCATTTCGAGGTTTATGCTGCCTGTCATAGGCGTGCGTGCAGCGTTTTTAAATATTACTTTTTCCTTATAAATGTAGGTGTGTAACATAGATAAATATCAAGGTATTTTCTTTCGGAAGTCAAAAATGCAATATTGCAATTTTTTTATTCGCATTCTTTCCATAGTGCTAGACTCGTAAGGCGAACTCTACCTTCTTGGCCTCCGCAGCACAACCCGCGTGTGGCTAAATTCCCCAAAATGTGGCAATGCCACGAATGCGGTGATTTATCGACTTACTAATGGATGCTAATCCCTGTTTGATTTAACACTGCTTTTTCTACCATTCCACCACGGTGCCTACACCAGCTGAATTTAGCCACATACGCGGTTATCATCATCAGCGACATTTATCTCTTCAAACAAATTTTCCAGCCCATCCATACTCAATACAATACTAATAATAAACTTTATTTACGACTAATGTATAATGTGCGTATTATATTTGTGATTTTGGCAGTATAATGACATATGTTATTCCTCCAGGGATTAATGACGAGTAGCGGGATTAATGGTCATTATTCCACAAAAGTGTCAGTGTCAAACGTCTAGTGCTTGTGGATTTGTATTGAAAATTATGAGACGGATGAAATTTGTTCATTGAATATCTCAAATAAATTAATTTGTCGTAAATAAAGTAGAGTATACTACTCGCAATAATGGCTATTATTCCCTCGGAATGTTACTCCCTCGCCGCTAACGCGGCTCAGTTCGTAATAATCCTCGGGAATAATAGCTATCATTATTGACTCGTGGTATAATCTACTATTGCACATCAATGAAATACCTACAATTCACGTACTGTCACCAATCACATGAAATTTTTTTATAGAAATAGGTTAGAAAACCAGTCTCAAGGGACCTCTGGACATTCCTCAAGTCAAGGAAGGAAATGTGCCAAAATACGCATAAGCGGCGATAAGGACGCCTTGACAATTTTGACTATGCAAAACAATTTACTGCCAAGGTCTCCTTTAAGGAATCCTCAGCGCTCAAGTAGGCACTATGAATACCGGACTAAAAGGCCCGTATTCTCAGTCACACCTCAAATTAAGGACCCCTCGTGACTTGAAGGTCGCCTTGAATAAGGACGCCTTCGCGGTATGCGACTTTGGAATTGCATAGTACCGAATTAAAGAGTCCTTATTGAAGGAAGCCTCGCCTCAAATTTTGCAACTGGCAACAACGGTTTCTACGAAATGTTTATTGTTATTGTCATTATTAATAGGTATATGGTTCTATGCGAAAAAGGTCAGATAGCTGTAGAAATAGTGATTTGTCTGTGAAATTTATGCGCAAGTAATTATGGCGATCAAGTACACTGAGTCTGAGAAAATGTTCCTGGTTCAGATGGGTACTCGCAACATAGAGT